AACAAAGATTGATACATACCAATACAAAAAATGTCAGCAAACAACGCACAAGTGATCTGGTACGGGGGCGGGAAAACTTTAGCCGGGATTCCAACTCGTAATGATATTGTAACTAAATTTGATAACAGGATGACCGCTGTACTTCAACAAAGCCTATCTGCCAAGCAATCCATACATTTCATGCCTACGGATGTGAGTGATGAAGCTGAATATATAAAAGGAGTGTCTACTTACATTTTACGTATTAGTGGTGCTTTAATTAATGGGCAAAAGGCAATTGTGGATATTACGAGTATCAAACCCTTCTTTGATGTTGAAGTACCTGAGATCACAACTTACCCCTTATCTGTATTTAAGAGAAGATTGATAAATATATTGACTAACACCCTCAAAAACACATCGAAATTCGGGATCGAGACTATTAGCGCTTTTCCACTTCGAGGATATCATACAGAAAAGAAATCATATATACATGTTACTACTTGGAATCATTTTGATCGATATAATGCATTAAAAGCGGTTCGTGAAGTTGGTATTAACACTGTTTCCGATGACCTGAATCCTACGTATTACTATCGCAAAGTAGCCCGTGAAGAGAGAATACCTCTTTCAAGTTGGGCAGTGTTAAGTAACTATTCATATAAATATATCAGGGCTTCATCACTAAATATTTATTCCTTCCAGGTATCTGTAAACAATTACAATCCAATAAACGATGATGACTATAATAATCCGTTAATTTCTTCAGTGCTTACAAGGGATCGACTCTTATTCTCACATGGGACATAGAGACATATAGTTCGCTCGGACAAGGTAATTTTCCTACTGCGCAGAGCGATGAATCTAACGTATTTATGATCTGCATGACAGTTCATTGGAAAGATGACCCCAAACCACTAAAGCAAATTTGTCTTGTCGATGTTGAAACTGCGCCAGACCCGCGATGGATAACAATTATATGCGAATCTCAGACCAATTTATTAAAAGCATTTGCCTTGTGTTGGAAACTCTTAGCCCCGGATATTCAAATAAGTTTTAACGATTCACAATATGATTGGAGATTTATTGTGGAGAAGGCAAAAAAGTTAGGGGTTCTCGAATGGATGTTCAATCAAATGTCATTAAAGCCTTTAAGCCTTGAAAAAATTACAAAATGGCAATACCAATATAACGCAATAAAAGTTAATGATAGGAATTTCCATTCGAAACATCTTAAAATTCCTGGATGCGTGGCAATTGATGTCTGACTGTGTTTTATGAAATTTTATTCTAAGGCTGAAAAGAGTAGTTTAGCATATTACCTAAAGGAGTGTAAACTTGACAACAAACTAGATATGCCTTCCCATTGTATATTTAAGTATTATGGAAGAGCATTAAAAGAAACTAATGCTACAACGGTTGAGCAGATGCGTGAAGTAGCCGAATATTGTGTTATCGATGCTGTTAGCTGTCAGCGGTTAATGGTAAAGCGTAATGCAATTAACGAGTATAGGGAGGTGTCATCTGTAGCCTTCATATCATTATATAATTCACATTATTTTGCAGTAGAAATGAAAGTGCGTAATCTTTTAAGTGCTAGTGCATGGCAGGAAGGAATTTTAACCAGTACAATTCCATGTGAACAAACGGAAACAGGAAAATACCCTGGGGCCTATGTTTTCCCACCGGTAAAAGGTCTCGAAAATAGACGTCCTGTAACTGGCTTAGACTTTGCATCACTATATCTGAGTCTTATTATGACATATAACTTATCTCCCGATAAAATTATTTTATCCCGTGAGCATGCAATATCTGTAGCACGTAGTGGTAAGAAGCTCCATAGGATTGAATTTGAGTTTAATGGTCGCGATATTATTGCGTGGTCAGTAAAACATGAAAATCAATCGGAAATGGAAGGACTTTATGTAATAGTGTTGAAAGAGCTACTTATGAAGCGGAATAAGATGAAGAAATGTCTCGCCCCGTTAACTGAAAAAAAGGAAAATATAGAATTAATATTAAGCAATATAGAAGGAGAGCGAACGATACCGAAAACTATTGAATATATCTTGAAAAATGCAGAAAAGGAAAATCGCGATAAACTTACTAAAAAATTACATCCTTTTATTAATAAAAATAACCGTGAATTTATGGTAGAATATAATTCCATCTGCTTCGATCACGCCTGTTTAAATGCAAAGCAGACTGCTTTAAAAGTGTATATGAATACATTTTACAGTGAAGCTGGGAATAGTGGATCCCCTTTCTTCTCACTTCCATTAGCCGGAGGAGTCACATCAGTTGGTCAACGAAATATTAAGCTTGTAGCAGATTTTGTTAAAAATAAAGGCTTCAAAATAAAATATGGAGATACAGATTCTTTATATTTAGTTTGTCCAGAAGAATATTTTCAAGAATGTGATACAGCTTATGATAATGGAAATGGAATCTCGAAAGAAAAATACTGGAATGAAATGGTAAAAATTTCTATGAGAGTAATGGAGGAGCTTCGTGATGAGGTAAATGAATTTCTTAAAAAAGACAATGGAGGTACTTATTTGAAAATGGCCTATGAAGAGGTTTTATTCCCAGTAGTATTTACAGGTAAGAAAAAATATTATGGCATTCAACATATAGAAGAACCTAACTTTGATTCAGATCCAGATAAGCTTTTTATTAGAGGTATAGATATTGTGAAACGAGGACAATCTAAGTTCTTTCGTGAAATAGGTAAGAAGATTATGCGAGAATCTATGGAAATCGATAACAATAGAACATTATACCAGATTGTTGAAAAGGTCCTTAAAAACACAGTAGAAAATTCATCTCAGATAGATATTAATGAATGTGTTCGAACTTATGCATGGAGGCCTGATAAAGATAATAAGTTTGTTAAACATTTCATTTCTCAAATGGAATCTAATCATGCTCGTGAGGTTGAGGAGTTCAAACAGCTTATAAAGAAGGAATTAACACCCAATCCATATATTTACGATATCCCAGAACCTGGAGAACGCTTTGAGTGTATAGTGGTGGAAAGGGAAGATCGATATGATGAGTATGGAAAGAAAATATTATAGAAAGTAGGAGAATGTATGGAATACCCAAATGTGGCGAAAAAACTTAACAAAAATATAGATATCAATTATTACCTAAAGAGTGTAGTTGGTCTCTGTGCCAGATTTATAAATAGTGATAAATGTTTTGAACCACCCACTGATAATGGATCTTTAATAAATATTACTACCCCTAATGAACTCTGGACAAAAAAGGATGAATTAGAACAGAAATCAGCAGAGAGGTGGATTAAGAAATATATAAAAGATTTACGTGATGCACCGAAAAAAGATGAAGCCATTATCTCCCATTTATGGAAAAATGCTACTACTCATGCTGAAAAAATATGTTCTGGTATTAGCAAAGCTGGCATAATCAGGCCTCCAGACGCCTCTACTAGGTATAATGATTATTTTAATGCATTAGATAAAATTGCAGATTCTATTCGTTTGAAATTATCAGATCTACTTTCAGAATTGTCTAAGCTTAATGTAGAATATAGAAATGGATTATATAAATTAGTTATACAGGAACAAAAATGCAAGACTGATATTACGATTTTAGAAGAATATATATTTCGATATAATTTGGAATCAGAATGTGAAGCATTAATAGATTTCTGGAATATATGGTATAAAGTAACTGGTCTTGAGATTGCTCGTTTCCAAGTATTATCTATTATGCAAAACGGTAAAAAAGATGACCCATCAGAAGCAGATATTGACGAGATTGTCGACCTATATTGTTAAGTAATCTTGGTTAGAATTGCCATACCCTACTAAGATACTTATACAATAGAATTAAATTTTTTTTCGTACATAAAAAATACCCAAGTTTAAATAGATAGTTCCTAATACCTAGTCCACGTATCCCGTAACCGATCTCTTTTCCTCTCCAATCTCCATGTACGTCTCAATATAACGAACCACATAACTGCAATAATTAACAAGGTAAGAAATATATATGCGGATAGTGGTGACATTAAAGTGCTTGCTACAATAGGAATCGCTTTTATTCCTCCCACCGAAATCTGAGGATGTGATTTAATTGGAGAGGAGGTATAATTTTCCCATTGTGCAAGGTATGGGGTCATATTCTCAGATATAATTAGTGATATATCTGGTTTTATCGATGTATCTAGCATAATATCTTTACTAGTTTCACTAATATTAGTTTCATCACTTACCTTGGAAATAATCTCAGTGTCATTTTTTGGTAGTTTGATAATCTCATCATACCTCTTTGAGGTGCCTAAAGGTCTGGTATATGTCGATGTATTACCATTAATTTTTTCTATTGGATCCATATTTTTTTTATGTATAAAATATTTACTGATATCTTTACTAGGTGAGGCATAGCCTCGAATCTCTGATTCTTTACTAGACACGTAAGTGTCACTGCTTTGCAATACTGTAGATATATCGTCAGACTTAGTTATGGAATGTTGTTCTTCATTTTGCGTATTTTTTATTGTAGAAACAATGGGGCTCTGTCCCTCGTCATCTCCACCGATTATAGCTTCCGATATATCCTCAGATTTCAGACGCTCCAACTCACTAATTTTCAAGGCCAATTCAACTATCTTAGACTTGAGAGACTCGATTTTGGACCCTTTCTTTAATGAATCTTTCTGAGATAAATCTAACTTATCTTTCAATAATTTCATTTCATTTCGAAGCGATTTAATCTCCTCTAATTTTGTAGCATGCTTAGTCTTGGATTCTGCAAGAGATATATCTTTGCAAGCATTTTCAATCTGTAGATGTCTAGCCTCATTAATAAGTTCCAGACCATGGGTACGTAATTTCTGGATCTCAGTGTTAACCCCTTCTAATTTCTGACCCCACTTATTTCTTTCCTGATCCCACACCCTCCTCTCCCGATTAAAATCTTTTTCTCACTTCTCATACTTATTCCGCAATTTAGCATTATATGAAGTTATCTCAGAAGAATCTTGAAGGGCGCTATATAATTCTTTCTTAAGATCTATCACATTGACCATATTAAATGAAAAGAAATATTATAAAAAAATAGCAAAAAAATAGGACGTATATATGATATAAATATGTATCAGAGACACTAGTTTCGCTATACTTATCTGGTAATGTTATCAAAGAAATTATGCTTCTAATATAATTCAACAATAATAGATAATTACTGATTTTTTTAGAAAATTATTGAATATTAAGTATGTAATTACCTATAATTACTGATCATTTTTTATCATAAGAGATATAGACATGTTTTAGTATTTTCGATAATTTTCAATAATTTGTTATAATCATAAAAAAGGATGGAACACATAATTGTAGAATATTATCATGCCAGTACTCCTTATTTATCACCAGAAGCTATCGAGGAAATTATTCAATCTCGAGAGACAATTAAAAATGCATGCAGGGAAATGGCTGATAAATATAGTACTTCAACTCGCCGAATTTATGAAATTTAGAAAAGGCATGCCGAAGGAATACCCCTGCGTAAACAACAACTAATACATAATGTTGTATCTTCTGAACTAATGTCTATACCCAAAAATAATATTTCAGATCGATGGTCAAAGAAAAGAAAATCAGGAACTAGGCCCATTTAAATATCTAACTCGATAAATGAAATGGATAACCTATTGCAGAGCAATGACCCTTTGGGTCTACAAGCTAAGCTTATACAAAATCGCAAAGAAATAGAAGAAGCTAAACGTGAGTCAAAAAGAATCTTAGATTCTAACTAATCTATTTTTGTTTTTTCTAGAGTAGTTTGCAATTCATATAGCGTTTTATTATCAGACTCATTTCTATAGGCCCGTAGTTTTTTATTAAGCTCGATTAATTCAGTGTTAGATTCAAGTACCTCATATAGCGATTTTTCTAGTTCCTCATAGCTCATGCGTTTTTTTTAGCACCTTTGGTACTTGCTCCGCTAAAGTCGAATTATCATAATCTAGGCTAAAATCCGCAGGAGCATGCCATTCCTCCAATGGATTATTATCGCTCTCATTACTATCCGCCTCTTGAGAAATTTGATCGGATATCAAAGGCTTATCATTTTGAGATGCAGTAGCACAATTTACTTCGAGTTTATTCTTGACATTGTGCATAGTTACAGGAATAATATGATCCTTCCCATTAAAAGAAATTTTTAACTCATCTTTGGCCCAATCTATAGCACATTTGTATTTCTTGAGAAGTGGATTCGAAAATATTAATGTTGGCTTTTTATATTTCACAACTACAAAATCTTCATATATAGTAAAACCTGGAGGGAGTGTTATTGGTAAATTACAGATGACTCCAATGGATTCAGTTGGAACTGTAGCAATACCACTGAGATCATATATCTCTGATTTATCAATCTTTCCATCCACACGTTTAACAATGTCATCTGTTACAATTGCGGGTTGGGTGGCCGAATCTAATGTCATTGCTGGAATTTTCAGAGATTTAATTTTACATGGTATAGTTGCGATAGTTGTAGTAGGTTCTTTCTTTATAACAAAGTCTATCTCCATAGGATCTTCCAAAGTCTCTTCTTCTCCATCTGAATCAGGTATTGCTAGGATTAGATCTCTGTGATTCGTGAAATCCGGAATGGATAAGTATTTATCTTCAGATTTAAGTTTCTCCAACTGATGCGGAAGTAAGACCTTTTCGAGCATTTCTAATAAAATTTGACGAATATTCTGCTCAAGGATAGTCAATTTATTTTGGGCCTTACTAGAAGTGGAAATACCTTTCTGTTTAGTCTTACGAGATTTGGACTTCTTAGGAGACGTTTTATTTGAATTGCTCTTATTGGAAGGTGACTTATTTTTTGAACTATTCTTTACTTTTTTTTTAAATGCGTGATATTGACATTGATATCAGCTTCAGATTCAGATGAGGTTTCCTCAGAATCGGAGTTATTATCTGAAGAATCGTTATTAGAAGAGTCTGTATCTGAACTAGAGCCAGAATCTATAGAAACCGTATTGACATTACCTTTCTTTCTAGACCTGCTCTTCTTTTTATTTTTCGGACATTTAGGAGAATTTGAACGATGACCAATTCTATGGCATCCTGAGCATCTGTGTTGGAATGTTTTCTTAATCTCCTTCTTGACCTGTTTAGATATAGCCTTATTTATCGACAACTTACTCATACGATTAGCCAGTTCTTCATCCGAGTCGACTTCAACATTTTTTGATGCATTTCCTCCATTTTTCTTAGACAAGAAGGAAGAAAATTTATCAACTACTCCTTTAGTAATTGTATCTATTAATAATTGTAAAGTAAATGGACCTGCTAAAGCACTAAGACGGTCTGTTGCTTCATCCATTTGAAACCATTCTTGGTCATTCAAGCACAGACCTGGACCCCGATATATTTCACCTGGTTCCATTTGACTGGGTCGTAATAATTGTCCTTCTTGTCTTTGGGAAGTTGATTGTATAGAAATGGGCTGAGATTGCAATGAAGCTATAATAGATTTTACAAAGCTTTCCGTTTCATCTCTACTCATACCCATATTACTTGAATAACTATCTTTTGTATTAGCTTTAGATTGTGAATGAGAAATAACGGGGTGAAATTCAGGATTATACTGACCTAACATCATTTCAGCCTTCTGTCTTTCAATTTCTTCTAATTTTGGTAGTAAAGTGGAAATTGGATATTCAAGACCAATACGTCTTACTTCTATTTTGTTATCAGGAGAAAGACCCTGAAAGAATTGCTGTCTAACCATTTCTTCCCGATTTAATTCTGGAAGTGCTGGATAGGCAAGACCAACCATTCTTTTCAATTTTGCATAAAAGCGACCTATAGGATCAGTACCTTGAGTAATGTTATGAAATACTACTTTTGATTTTTCAGCAGTTATTGTGGGATAATTGGTTCTAAACCAATATAGTACCTGTCCAATGCGAATTCCCGGAGCTATAGTATTTCCCCCTGCATTAGCATTAGGTGCATTAGGTGCTAGTTCTGTTGGTCGACCACCAGATATCAACCAATTTTCATCAAAAACGGTATGTGCTGGCACCAATGATATAGCAATTGCATTGTTGTCAGCTGGAACTGTATTTCTTATTTGAAGAGCTCCGCCTCTAAACTGATTAGCATTGATATTGCGCAATGCATTATTATTAGCCAATCCATTGATAGCACCAAGATTAGCCAAGTTAGTATTGTCGCTAATATTTTGCAATTCCCAATTTTTATTCTTGAGATGAGTTTCATACCAATCTTTTGCATCATCTCTTAAACAAGTCTCAAAAAGTCCATGAATTCTTGTTCTGGTTCGAGCATCTGCAAGTGGATCAAGTCCGGATGCTTTACAATATTGCCTAAAATCTCTAATCCATTCTTCAGGATCTTCTCCAGCTTTTCTATAAAATAGTGTTGGTGCGTAACCTGCCATTCCTCTATATTGGTTATTTATAAGTTGATTATTCTGAAGTGCAAAAATTTGCTGGTTTAAATTATTTATTAATTGCTGGTTGGCTATGTTTTGGGTTTGCACAATATTGAGATCATCCTCAGCAATCTCTAAATCTGTAAGAATCTGTTCTTGTCTATTGTCATCAAGAGCCTTTTGATTTTTGAAATTTCGTAGCTCTTGTTGCAATCGGTAAATTTCTGCCTTGTATAATTTTTCAAGAGCACATTTGAATTTGGATTGCCTATTCCATGCCAAACTCGCATTTCTTCATACATTACCCCGCTGATTATATTTTTGTTGTAATTCTATCAAAGCAGTAGTTAGATAACGA